TCACATATACTAAATATATCATTTCTTCTGTATCCTATAGAAATACTTGATCCCCCTTAATAAATGCTCTTTTCTTTCTCTGAGTTATTTGGAGATTCGTACTTTCAAGTGGGCAAATGAGCCCCTTTGCAAAGGTCAAAATTTCTCTCAAGTTCAGGGATCAAATTCTTATTAGCTCCAAACCAAATTTGCAATGTTCGAGTTTGGAGGCTACAAATACACACCATCACCACCCAGTTGTCCAGAAAGAAGTGGAGATGATTCTTATATCAACCTATTTTTTATTGGCAAGCCTTCCCCCAGTTTGTATCTTTCCTCCATTTGTTCATATCTTCCCAGGGAACATGACGCCGAGTTCGAGAACCTCTGCCTAAGAGAGCTTTGCATGCTTAATTTCAGTTTTGGGTGTTCCCCTTTCTGTTGGCCTCTTAGCCTTCAGCTTGTCCGTGGCTGGGACCCACCCTTGACTGGCAAGATCCAGCTGAGCTGGGTTAGGATGGCAAAGGAGGCCTGTCATCTCCTGGGGAATCCTGAGGGCTTTGTGACCTCATCATCCCTGCAGGCCGAACTGTCAGTTATGTCAGTTACCAGAGGGAAGGGGGCTCCTAAGTGGTAAGTTAGTGTTCAGAAGGGCTCCTGGACTCTGGGCAGCCTTCCCTCTTTTGATAAACGACTATCAGGGAGGTAGATGGTGGTGAGGGTGAGAGTTTGGGTTGGGATGAGGATTAAGCTGAGGTTAGGGGGAAAGACAGGATGAGGATGAGAGGGAGGGTGAGAGTCAGATCAGTGGGACGGTTAGGGAGGGGGGACCAGAGAGGAATGGGACGGGGGGGGGGGCAGGGGAAAGGAAAGAAGAGAAGGTGAAGAGAGGGAGGGAGGGGAGAAGGGAAGGAGGATGGGGAGGGTGAGTCACCGTTGTGACTGCAGGCATATTTAGCGGTTTTTCCCCCATGTGAATTCTTTGATGTCGATAGAGGTGTCCACAAACAATAAAGTTCTTTCCACACTCAAGGTATTTGTATTGTTTTTCTCCCGAGTGGATTGATGCTGATAAAGACTTCCCTTCCCACAGAAACCCTTTCCACGCTCCAGGCATTTATATGGTTTCTCTCTTCAATGGAGTCTTTGATGTCTGTAAAGGTTTCCCCTCTGACTACAGCTCCTTCCATACTCCAGACATTTATATGCTTTTTCTCCTCTGTGAATGCTTTGATGTTTACGGAGACCTTGACTTTCAGTAAAGCTCTTTTCACACTGGAGGCATTTACAGGTAGTCCCCCAGGTACGAGAGTTCATTTAGCCAGTTTTCACAAAAACAAATTAATTCATGAAGGGTACTTACATTAGAAATTCAGAATTGCGACCAAAAAGGTCTGTCTTTCTTCTAAATCAAACAAAACAATATGGACAATATCACTGCTTGTAGCCTTTCTAGATTTTAAGCCTACATTTGATTTCATATGAGAGAAATCTTGATGAACGTGGAGAATACAGTACAAATGAGTCAAATGAGGCTGTTACAAAAAGGGACAATTTCAACCACACAATTTCAGTTTGGCATGTAACACAATCATTCCCCATTCATCTAGTAGACAAACTGGGCCTTTTAGGAGAATACAATAAAAAGGGATGTCACTTTTTCTCATTCAGCATTTGTATGAAATGTGCTAACCAACCTGGTACCTCTTCGGAAAAGACTCCCAGGGCTTTATTTAGACCTCCACCCTCTTTAAGTTGTATCTCCACTCCTTGACAGCTCATTTGATCGTCTCCTGCCTGAATCAGTGGACCCAGATTTACTTCTCCTCCAGGATATAGATAGTATCTCACGAAGTTTTGCTGGCCTTAGAAAGTCTCTTGTGTCTGCTAAAAAGCCTGGAAGACAAGGGGACCATTGAGAGCATCCATCTGGGGATGGCCTTACGTGTGCTGACATTTGGAAAACCTATATAGATTATATCAAAAATGAGATGGAGAAGCTCTTTCACAGCCACAAAAAAGAGGCTAAATTAGCCTTAGATTCAGCCACGTCACACTTACTTCAACTAGGTACCAAGTGGGATGATCATTTAAAGGCAATTTATTAGTCTATTATAGCGAAGAGATTTCCCTCAATGAAAAGAGAGAATCCAGGACACAGAATCTGGTTTCATTTTATACGCCTTATAGTAGAAAAAGTACAAAACAAGACTTGGTTTGATGGAAGAAATCATCCTCCTCATTTACGCCAGAGACATGGACAGTAACATCCCATAATATTAAGCATAACCATTGAAATGTACATTGCATTAAAAGGAGAACGTTCATATGGGGAAAAGTGTCACGAGTCAAATGAGGCTGTTATTAAAAGGTACAATTTCAGCCACAATTTCAGTTTGGCATTTAACACAATCATTCCCCAGCATCTAGTAGACAAACTGGGCCTTTTAGGCTTAAACGCTCTTTGTGTAACTGGATTCTTGATTTTCTTACCAACAGGCTGCAATATGTGCAAGTTGGAACAAATACCCCTAATACCATTTTCTTGAGCACAGGTTCTCCTCAGGGCTGCGTCCCAAGTCCCCTGCTCTTCACCCTGTTGACCCATGACTGTTGTGATAGGTTTGCCACCACCCATATTGTGAAGCTCGCAGATGATACAACAGTAGCGGTCCTTATTCATGATGACAATGAGGGAGCTTTCCGCAAGGAGGTTGAAGGGTTGGTGAACTGGTGTAAGGAAAACAGCCTAGTTTTTTATTATTATTATTAAAAGTTTTATAGGAGTTTTACAATATAATCCCCCCCCAAACCCTCCCTCCCCATCTTTCAATTTTTTATTAATTTTCAAATAAACAAATTCTTAATACAAATAGGATATACATTAATTTTTCAGAGATGCTCAGCAGCCCCCCCCCGCCTGCATCCCCCCTCTCTTTCACCCTTCCGACCTACTTCCCTCCTCCTCTCCTACCTACACTTCTCTCCTCTTTCCTCCTCTCACTGCCCTACATATCCCACCTCCTTCCTTCGGATGCAATTTGGGGGTGCTAGCCAAGCATCTCCTCTCAAAGAATACATTATTTCTCTATAACACTTTAATACACCAGGATTGCCTTCATCCCCTCCCCCCCCCAGACTTCCCAGAACTGAATACAGGGTTAAGCACATGCCATCCCTAATCTAAATAAAACTACCCAAACATAATACAATCAAATATTAACATACTTTAACTCTACTAAACCAATATCAACTTGACATACTGATAAGCGTAAATATAAAATATATATGCTATAATAAATAAATAAAAATAACATAAAATCTACTCAAAAGCTATATAATATTTGTTCACTTTGTACTTTCTCTGAATATAATCTATCCATCTTCTCCAAACCAAAATAATTTTTTCTTAAAATTGATCTTTCAAATATGTGGAAATCTTGGCCATTTCTGCAAAATACAAGACCTTTAATCTCCATTCATCCATAGTAGGTAATACATTCTTTTTCCAATATTGAGCAACCAAGCAGCCTAAACTGCAATCTGATCTGTCATCAATTATTCCTTCAACATAACAATAAAAACCTTTAAATTCTTATCCATTAGATTTAAAATAAAAGCTTTCTCTTTTGTTTTAATCTCATCCTCCAAATCTCTACGATTTTGTATCTGCTTTCGCCTATGTGCACTATTCATTGAAATTAGAGCACCTCTCATGTCATATTCATATTCAGCAAAATGCTGCTGTTACTGATTTGGTGCATATAAGCCAACAATAAGACATTTCTTTCCATTCAATAACAATTCAATAAGTACAAATTCTTCCTTCTGGGTCAAAGTCTATTAGTTTTGGCAGAAATTCTTTCTTTCTTCGGAGCTGGAGCAATAAAGTAAGGTCCCAATCTAGAATTAATCAAATACTTTTGGTCTTTCAAAATAATGTGAGTTTCTTAGAAACATATAATGTCATTTTTATATTATTTCAAATAATAAAAAAATTTCTCTTTTTTTTGTGGTGAATTCAAACAATTCACATTTAACATCATCAACTTAACCATCCTTTGCCTTATGAAGCTTCTGGAGCATTCCTTGTAAATCTGTCATCACAGATCTCTTTGGCCTTGCCCCTCCCATAGGTAAAAGCCTAGTTTTAAATACCAGAAAAACCATAGAAATCATTGTCGATTTCAGAAAAGGCAGGCACAGCCACACTTCTCTGTGCATTAATTATTCACCTGTGGAGATGGTTACCAGCATCAAATTCCTGGGTATGCAGCTAATGAGTAAAATTACATACCCCTTGAAAAAGTGTGTAAAATTATTCAAATTCCACTATTTGGCATCACAGAAGAGCACAATCATTAAACAGAGTGTAGCAATAAAGGGAATAATAAAATGGCGCTGGGCATAAGTTTACTTACTCCTCAATGTTTGGGCTGAGAATACAGTATTCACTCATGTTGACAAAGATTGAGATGGCAATGAAGGGTAAGAGTTCGCACCTGTCTTACTGAGCTGTACTTAGGTCTGTGATAAACATTCAAGTAGCTTCTTAGCGCAGTATTGCAGGCAGACTGTCCACAGCCTGGAGTTTGATTCTGACAGCGCTCAAGCCTTGACTCAGCCATACATCCTTCTGAGGATGGTAAAATGAGGATCTAAATTGCTGGCACCAATATGCAAATAATGTTTACCTTGGAAATCTCCCAGAGTGCGCTGTAAAGCACTATGGGGCGGCATATAAGCATAAATGCTATTGTTATTTCAGTGGTACCGTTGTGACTGAAGGTTTTTCCACACTCAGGCATATTTAGCATTTTTTCCCAATGTGAATTCTTTGATGTCGATAGAGGTGTCCAAAAACAATAACACTCTTTCCACACTCAAGGTATTTGTATTGTTTTTCTCCCGAGTGGATTGATGCGGACAAAGACTTCTCTTCCCACAGAAACCCTTTCCACGCTCCAGGCATTTATATGGTTTCTCTCCTGAATGGAGACTTTGATGTCTGTAAAGGTTTCCCCTCCGACTACAGCTCCTTCCACACTCAGACATTTATATCCTTTTTCTCCTCTGTGAATGCTTTGATGTTTAC